GCCATGGCGGCGAGAAAACCCTAACCAGAGCCCGTGCGAGAGAGAGAGAGAGAGAGAGAGAGGGAGAGAGAGAGGCTGCGATCATCCAATATGCTATTATCCATTTATTCTTTTGTAGTATTTTTTTCTTTCTATTTTATGATTTTCAAAAAATTTTGGTGTATGTGTATTTTGAAAATTTTCTTAACAAAATAAGTATATTGTTATGTTCTTGAGATTTTTATTTGTTCCCAGAACGGAACAAATGGTCAACCTTGTATTTTAAGGGTTCGTTCGTACTATGAACTAGTCAATCGGTTAGGAACCTGACTATTGTATGCAGACAAATGGTGGGTCAATCCAACTTAATCATATCTTCCCTTTTTCTCCACTCCTCTACAACCCCTCATCCTCTCACTTCTTTCATCTTTCTAGAATATCCCCTTCTCCTCTTCTCCTTATTGTCTTCTCTACTTCCCCTACCACCAAATTACACCTAAGAAACCATTTTCACTCAATCTAAACCCTTCCAGAGCTATTCATAAGAGAAAAAAAAAATGTGCCTTATTTATTTGTATTTTGTTTTTGCTTTTACTAAATGGATGGTGTTAGAATCCAATTTTTCAAAATAGGTTGACTTAAATATTAGATTTGGGTTAATTTAATTAACCTTACAATTGTATTTTGTTCACCCAATTCGTAAAAACTTGGATGGTTTAACCAAAAAAAACTATTAAATTAGGGTTCATTTTCATGTTGCTCACTCAATCATCCGACCAAATGTTTTGACCACAATGTTATTGTTTTCCGAAACTACATGGCCAATTTATGTTTGTGTGTGCTCCTACTCGGGAAATCTGGTCAAACTTGTGATTCGATCCATTTTTATACAAATTTTTGTTGTTTGACTTGTGTGGCATTGTCCTTGGAGCCATTTTAGCTAGTTTTTGTCATGTTTTAGTATGTTTCAGGATCTATCAGGTGAAATGGGAAAAAGGATCGAAAGGAGGCAAAAATGGGACAAAAATTTGGAAATTGCATGGATCATGGTTCATAGCATATGTTCACGGGCAAAGACCGTGAAGATTACCTACAAACCGTGAAGCTTTCAAGTATCCATGAGCATTTGAATGCCTTGCGGGCATTGCACACATCATGGACGCAGGGCATGAAGGATGCAAGGAAACCGTGAAATATGTAATTGAAACAATACATTTTGTGTCGATGTCACGATTTCACTGCACACATCACGCTCGTGACGCTTGGCCATGAAGATTGCACTACGAATATAAATATGAAGACAGAGTAAATTTCAAAGGGGAGGAGAGTTTTAGAGAGAGAGTTTGATCTTCTTCTTCATTCTAGAGAGATAAAGCAACAAACCAAGGAAGATTAAATGGGAATTTGAGCTACAAAGATCAAAAGAGGCCAGATTTCATCTTCATCACCATCCCAAGCAACTAGGGAGAAGGAGAATCATATTTTCATGGGGTTTTCCTTCTCTATAGTTGTAGTTCCTTCTCTATAGTTGTAGTTTGATGATTGTGAAATCTAATTTGTGATTGACATGATTGCTTATGTATTGATTGAGTATTTATCATAATAATTGAAGATCCTTGATCAATTCCCTCAATTTTGGGGCCAAGTAACCTAGGTGAGAGTAGATCTCCTTAGAGTTATTTAGGGCATTATTCGATCATTGTAAGGGGTCCATGAACGAGGGTGATTGGTTTCTTTACGCTATTCTGGGTCATCACCTCAGAGAGTGGATTTGGTTACCCTAATCACCTAATATGTTAGTTTGGTGTGCCTCTACAATTAGAGCAATTAGGCGGGTTAGGACAACTCAAATAGGGAATCCTAACTAGCTTTCATCTCCTAACGGTATATACTTCATGTGAATCATGCTAGAGTATCATGTCATTAAATCAACATGGGATTAGGGGGATAATCATCCAAGTGAAGCTTTCTCCATTGAACTCAACCTTGCTTGCATTTTTGTTAGTTCATTAACTTAAAATTATATATCTAGCGCTAGATAATTTGTAGTTTAAGTATACATAGACCGCTTGGGTTTTTGATAATATGAAAAATACTTGCTCTATATTACCCCTGTTGAAGGTTACACTTTGCCTTAGATTGAGAATGTACTTAGAATCGAGTCACCTTGCGTTCATGAGGTCCATCATTGGTTCTTCGTGGCCAGATTTTGTAGATTAAATGTTTCGCAAATTTTGATTATTTGGTCAACCTCTCCCTATTGATTGGTCAAACGAATGGAAACAACTTGAGTTACATTTTCAAAGATTAAGCATATGCGTGTTATTCCCCCCCCCCCCCCCCCCCCCCCCTACCCCCAAATTGTGCATATGTGTGTTCAACTTAAGAATTTGCTTTTCTTGGATCTCAGGATGTTTTAAGGAAAGAAGAAAATAACGTCTAACAAAGAGGGGAGCTCAAGTAGTGAATAGGGTGGTGATTTCAACGCAATATTGTTCCATAAATAAACACAAAAAAATGTTTGAATAGAACAAAATGCACAACCACAAGGTGGATCGTGAACGACCATGACGGAAGTGCCTTATACTCATTTTGAAGCTCACGGTTCTCTTGGATCATCTATGGAGCAAGAGTGGCTCAAGGTCTTCTCGTTTGATGTGTCACACTTTTTATAAAAGGTACAGTGTTTCTAAAACAACATCACCTCTCATTATGCTCATGATGGAACTGTTGCATATTTTTCATCATATGTTAATGGGATGTAGATGGATGGATATTGTTGGGGATGTTACTAAATCCGCATTGCATAGACTAAGTAGTAGTGCACAACCACTGTGGTGCACCAGCAGTGTGACATCCAACATTGACACAAAATGGGACTAAGCAATAGCGCACTATCATTGTGGCTCACTAGCTAGTGATGCCCAACCTTGACACAAACCGAGATTAAGTAGTAGCACACCAGCATTATGGCGTGCTAGCATAGTGGCGCACCAACTGAAGACTACACTAGTGATGCCAAACTGAGACTAAGTAGTAGCGCACTAGCGTTGCAGCGCACTAGCATAGTGACTCCCAACATGCTACGCTACCTACCGCGCTACCGGTGACGCGCAACCTGCCACGCAACTAAGGCTGTTATGAGCCAAGCTATTCGTGAAAGGCTCGGTCTCAAACTCGATAAAAGCTCGTTCGATTTAATAAAAGCTCAATTAGTTTATTAACGAGTAGAATTTGAGCTCAACCTTTTTCGGATCGTGAGGCTCGATTAGGTGGCTTGTTGACCTTAGGAGCTCGTTCCGCGGTCAGCTCCGCCTTCAAAGTCCACCAGCTCGCTTCCAGCCACGGAACAAGCCTCTACGTGAAGCCCACAAGGGATATAGCGACCCAAAATCCGCTTTCCACCCCCGCCCTGCAAGTTTAAAGACTCACAAAATTGAAACACCTCCAGGGATTCGAACTGAATTACTTCACTCTGCCATTAACCACACTGAACCAATAGACTACTTGGTCATTTCTGCTACTAATGCGGGACACCCGCTTGTTGATGACTCCAACCCACACTAAGCACAAAGCAGACTCCCGCATAGCCCCCACCTCACACCAAGTGTAGGGCCCAAAGCCTAGCTCGCGGCCCGCTCCTACCGCACTTAACTTTCATTCCAACCGCACAACATATAGGTCCGGTTCGCTTCAATTCGGCCAGCTCCCGCCATCACATCCGTCCCATAACGCGGTCCAAATAAGTCTTCGACAAGAGCATTGGTGAATCTCCAATATATGAGCGCTCTACTACCTCCGTTCACATACGTGTGGCTACTTAACCACACTTCATATGTGTGGCTACTCAAGTGCAGCCTATACGAGCAGCTACTAAAGCACACTCTATAAAAGAGAGCACATAACGCATTGAAGAATCTTCAAAGAGTGAGTGTTCAACGCGTTAGTGAAATTCATCGCATGGGGGGAAATCGCATAAAACTGGTGCCACGTCATGTTGACGCGCCACCAGTTGGGGGGCAACTAGGGGTACATGGGCCCCATATAGGGTGCTCAATGAAGATGTAAAAAAAATAGTATTATCAAGCTATAGATGAGTTAAAACTCATCACCAGCTTGGGGGGCAATTGTTGGGGATGTTACTAAACCCTCCTTGCATAGACGAAATAGTAGTGCACCAGCACTGTGTTGCACTAGCATAGTGACCTCCAACCTTGACACAAAATGGGACTAAGTAGTAGCCCACTAGCATTGTGACGCCCAACCTTGACACAAACCGAGACTAAGTTGTAGCGCACTAGCATAGTGGCGCACCAACTGAAGACTACACTAGTGACACCAAACTGAGACTAAATATTAGCGCACCAACATTGCAGCACACTAGCATAGTGAAGCCCAACCTGCCGCGCTATCGGTGACGCGAAACCTGCCGCGCAATCTACCGCGCAACCGTTGCCGTCTACGTCCACATGAAGGCTTCCTAGCCCTCCAAGGAGAGGTCTCAACTTCTTCACCCTCATTTTGACATATGGGTTCTCTCTCTAAACTTTCTCTCTCTATATTATTCTTTAAACTCACTCTATACATAAGCTAACTTGATAGTCGGAGCTTAATCCGGGGGCATCCACATCTTTTCACAAATTCCTTCTCTCTCGATGAGATCAGACGAATGGATCGTGATTCAAGCCGACACCAACAAATCATTATTGTTCGTATCCGGAGCTACATGGTACAAACAGATATCACTAAAGAGTTGTTGGTAGAAGTATTGTATATTCCAAACCTCAGGAAGAGGATCACTTCTTCCGGTGCATAGAATGAAATTAACTTCTTTTGGTGTGATTTATTAATCTTTTAAGACAATTTGGTTTGAAGTAACTATTTTTGTGGAATGAGCTTAAGTCGTTAGGGTTTTAGATTTGAGATATGTGTAAAGTATTGTGAAGTATGTTTATTTTATTTTTTGTGTAAATGATTAATCTTTTAAGACAATTTGGTTTCTTGCTACTATGATTGTGAATTCAATTTGTGAAATTCTATTGTAATTCGTTGTTGTATGACATTCTGGATTCAAAGCGGTTGACCAAACCTTTACAGAGGTCGACCGAAATAGGCAACAACTCGGCTTATTGTTGCCTTACTTTCCACTAAGCAGTCGATCTGTTCCAATATGAGGTCGACCGTTATTTTTCATTAGAATATGCATATTAATATAACCATAGACCGCTTACTCTTTTCGATCATTTGTTTTTGTTGTCCAAATCACAGTAACTAACTAACTTGCAAGTCACTATAGACATACCTCAACTTTTTTAGTCATTGTTGTTGTATGACGTGTAGTAGCAAAGAGATATGTCATGGTTCGATTGAAATAATAGAAATGTAACATGTTATGGTGGTGAACCTTGAGAAGAGCAGATGCACATTTCTTTTGTCGTCAATTAGTTATGGATAACCTAAAATTCCAATCTTGGGTATCCCTAGTCTCGAGGTAACATATCCAACTGTTGGGTGGGCATTCGGTTGGTTCGGTTTCGACCGAACCGAAATTATGAATATCGGGTCCTCGAATTCACCCAAACCTCAAACCAAATTCGAATCGAATTATAATTCGGTTCGATTTTTCACATAAAACCGATTTTATGAAGCTACTTGTATCTTCTCACTTTTAAATTATTTTTCACCCCTAATATAAACAATAAATATGCAATTATACGCATCATCAATGATAAAATCAAACTTTTCAACACATAAGTCTGTTTTACAAATATTTAAGTCTAAAAACAACTACAAACATAAAAATCCACCATTTGGAGCTTGAAATTATAGTATTTCGATTTTTCAGTCGAAAATTCAAAAATTCAATTCAGTTGAAAGAACCCTAATTTCCGAACTATCCATATTTTCCTTCCGAATTTCAAATAGAATAGCATTATTTCAATTTCGGTTCGGTTTAATTAGGTTTCGGTTCGATTCAGTTCGGTAAAACCCGAACCGTTTGCCCACCCCTATCCAAGACAACGGTCTACAAAGAAAGGTGATGTCTTTAATAATAAGTGAAGCAATATTATTGTCAGCTGATCCCTAACTTTAAAAGTAAGTAAATTAACAAATGAGCAAGTATAACAATTGCAAATAAATGTCCTTCGGCGTACAATTTGTCAAAGCCTACTTGTTACAGAGCCTGCAGAGCAGCCAACCATCTAACGAGAAAAGCTAACGTGCTTCTGCTGTCACTCGTTATGGATCACCAATTTCTTCGCCACTATTCGGATCCCGGCACGGTTTTGATAATCGTAGGTATCCAGGAAGAGGTAAGCATCCAGAAAGGTCCCTGGGTTGAGCCATGGCTCAAGCTCCTCCGGATCAAACTTGCTAAATACGAGCTTTTGCATGGTTCCTGATCCCTCTTTCTGATACATCTCTGTCGCATATTGAGCCACATTCCCGTCTACCAAAGTGGGTATGCTGCCAAATGCATACAAAGTCAGCTTGAGTGCTTACTAAAGTACTTCCATCAACCCATGAAACCCATTTCGTGGAAGCTTTAAGAAGGACATACAATACTACGAAAATGAGGAAACACAGGAAAGAGAAGCAAGCGATGGAACTTACTTGATCCTCACTTTAGGGTAGTTGGTGTATTTGTCATGCCGCACCACAACATGTCTCCAATTAGATTCACTACCTGAACCTTGGAATAGATTCATAGCTAGTTTGTCACAAGCATCCAGAACTCTACATAAACTTGGAGATGCATCAACCATGAAACTCAGTCGTGGCCTTCCAGCATGATCCACAAACTTTGTGCTGAGTCCGAACCGGACCTTTAAACAAGGGCAATGGAGCTCAAAATCACCATTCTTGTGTAATAATTTCATCTTTCCGCCTCCACGGGGATGTGGAACATAAGATGCCTTGATAGAAGGAACATCAACTTCTTCAAGCTGTAAGATCTCGGAAACAGTTGCTGCTGCTGAAAGCATTTCGGAAGATTCTGAGACAGGATTTTCTTCCATCGAGACATCCCTTTCCAATGACTCAGTATTCACCTCATCTCTGAGTAGGCTCATGTCGAAAGGGTCTGTATTTCTGTGAACAACACTGCTGCTCGTCACAAAAGACAATATTGGATGATTTCCCTCCATTCCATTATTTCCAGGAGTCAACTCTGGGATTCTCTCCAACTCTGAACTCGAAGGAGTGTTCCCGTTCGAGTCTGTTGTGTCAATCATTGATTTGCTTGCTCTGCGACTTCTAGTAATAGCATTGGGTGAAACCCAACTGTTTTCTGGAAATGTCTCTGGGAGACTTGACTCCTGCATTGAAAGAAAATTGAATCAACGCCCGAGCAACCAAATGAAAATATCCGAATTTACACTGCTTATCCACTAAAAGCAGAGTAAGTTAAAACAAACAAACAAACAAACGAAGAACACCGAATGTGATCCCTCCGGCTTATCTTCCATCTTCCAACTACATGTTCTTTTAGCTTCGCCCTTCTTTTAGGTTTACAAGAAGTTTTAAAAGTTGAAAGCAGCATGGAAACCAGCTTAAAAACCCCCTATACGTATGAGCCGCGGCAACTGGTCTCACTTAGTACATGCATTAACCAAGTCTAGAATAAGAGGATCTAACAAAAGAAGACCATAAATGCTCTTGTTTGCAGCAGCCATAGAAATGAGTGGCTATTACAGATGAGAGAACCCAGTATTTAAAAAAAAAAAAAACAGAGAATGGGATTCTTAGTGAATGACCAAGAGAATGCTTTAGTGATTTCATTCTCTTGTTCTAGCTAGAGAATGGAACAAGTCTGCCGCAGACAAAGTTGAAATCGTGGATGAGAGTTACCAGGAATAAGACAGTAGCACAATATTTCAGAACTTCAAGGTTCATCCTAACATCATCCAAGCTCCTGCAAGACAACAAACACAACAGAAACAAAGGAATAAGATCATAAAACTGAACCCACAAAGAAAGAATCCAATAACAAAAAGTGAATTGCTTGGCTGGCATTGCCACTACCTATGCGTTTGCTTTCCAAGTTTAAAGTATGTAGCCAGAGAAGCCATCTGCATCAGAGAAATCAACAACCGGAGAGTCGATAAGAAAAGCGGGGGGAAATAAGGGGTGAAAGCAAAATGAGAGAATACAAGGTTACTACAGTACCTTCATGTCACCAGCTCTCCTACCAAACTTCTGAGTCAGTAAGGCGAGGGAATCAATAGTTCCCTTGGGCTCTGGTGGCGACCTCCCAATATCAGCAAAAGCTTCTCTAATTCGGGGGCAGTCAAACCTCAGAATGTTATGCCCCGCCCAAATCCTCCCTGAAACCCATAACCCACCATTTCCAGAATTTCAACCATGGAATCAAAAGAAAAGGGGGGAAAGAGGCCCTCGTCCTGATAAGAAAAAAAAAATGACAATAAACTATAACCCACCATGGAGAATGTCGAAGACTGTATCGGCGATGTCGGAGAAGGAAGGGGCCGTGGTGACGGCCTCGCGGGTGATGCCGTTGCAGCGGACAGACAAGGTAGAGATAAGAGAAGGGTTTGATGGGCAGATGAGGGTGGAGTAGTTGTGGAGCTCGACGAGGGTTTTGGGGCAGACCAAGATGGCTCCAAATTCTAAGAGAGCGAATCCCTGGCCGGTTCGGGTGGGAACGGTGGTCTCGACGTCGAAGAAAGCTATCTCCGACCGATCGCCGCTCATTGTGGCGGTGGTGGTAGCCATGGACAAGGGGTATTATCAGGGAATTGCAGTGGGGATTATGGGAGCTCGCACGTAACTACAAGAAAACAAGCCTACAGAAGAAGGAAGGGGAGAGAGAAAGCTACAAGTACAATTCTGTACAATCGGAGGAAAGGGGTATGAAATGAAGCGCAGGTGCAGCAGTTTTGAAGCGGGTTAGTGGGCTGGCTGGCGGGTCGGATTTTTTATATATAGATAGAGATGAAGGAATCGCGGAAGCAATGGGGGGAATTTGTTCGCTGTGATATTCGGGTTTTGTTTGTTCTTGCTTCCCGGGGTGGGTTTCGGGTTTTCATTTAGATACAGGAGGAGTGATTCTTAGGATTACGAAGTACGAACTAAAGAAACTCCACAGGGAAAAGCAACCTAAATGCTGAAGAATCTTTCAATGAAGAAGACGACATCCCCACGCCACGATAAACGACAGGCCCCATTTGATCTTCTTCTTCGGTTACATTATACACGTTACCAAATTATTTGGTGGATTTTAAGAATTTGTGTACTATTAGAATACAACTAGCTTATAATTCCGCCCATTGGTCGGAATTTTTATATTTGATTATTTATATTTTTATGTTACGTTTAATCTAATCAACTGGTTTAATTTTATTAATAACCCTTCGATTGAGATGATACGTAAAGAAAGAATATAGGTCTAACATTCGGAGAAATACCATCATCATTTAAGAGTATAAAATATAAAAATATATCATTAATTCCATTTTCATAATGATAATTAAGCCCTAGTTAAAATGCTATCGTTAGTTGATTGTCAAGAAAGAGGGTATAAAAGCTCAGTGAAATTCCACACGACCCATATATAGTTTGAAACTAAATCTTAAACCTCACAATCCTACATAAGGGTTTAATGCCCTCCTTTTATGAACAATATGCCACTAATCAAAAAGAAATGGAGAGTTGTTGATTCAAGTCAACTATATACTAACAACTCAGCTAAGAAGGGACCATCAAAACTTGAGAGCAAACGACAGAATTAGGGTTATAACATACTAATAGACTCAATCAAAGTAATAAGGTACAAAATTAGACATTCATTGTCTATCAATTCCAGTAGGTTGAATAAAGAATGAACCTACTTCAATAAATCAATCAATGATTCCACGTTTTAAGATAGAAATAGGTTGTGATAGATGTAAAAACCATAAATATAAAGATCCAATAGCCACCACTCTTCGTTGTACAATCAAATTTTTATCTCAAGAGACATATGTTTCAACCAAAAATTCAATTTCTAATCCTCCTTCTGCAACTCCATTATTTATTAATCTCTTTTATTTGCCCAACTTAATCCCCAACAATAAAACTGACGTGCCAAGAGATACCAGATGATTGATTTTCAATGGCGACCTTGTACTGGGAAGTGAAAGGTGCATAAACTATTGTACGATGGAGGTAATTTTCGAGGAAGTTAGAAAGAGATAAGAACAAAGATTAAAATCACAAAATTTAAATTGAAAAATGCAAGGACACAACACGTAGTGACAAAATTAGTTTTTTTCCAAGTTAGTCAATTACCAATTAACCTTTAGAAAAAATTAAGGAGAGAGAAAGAATATTAATTGGATTGGTCATGTGCTTCTGAAGGGCTGATTTAGTCCCTTGCTAGTGAGAGAGTAGTGAGAGAATCCTCCCAATTTCTTGGCAAGCTAGGGTTCCGCCGCGGGCCTAGCTGGCCGTGTCGGCATCTGCGCCGGTGCGTTTTTCTTTCTTCGAGATCAATGGCTGCTGTTGTAAGTGGTTTGGAAAATGAGGGCGTTCCTGTCAAGCCTTGGGCGGCGCTATTTGGCATTGCTGAGGCAAACCGACTTGAATACATTCCGCCGGAGCTGTTCAAAGGTGGGATTCGAATGCCGAAGGTAGTGAGTGATGAAGGCGCAGCTCGATGGAAGCACAGTTTGGTCGGGCAGTTCCTCCATTCTTCTCTCCCTCCTCTTCTGGAGCTTCGGCGATGGGCGAACAAGCTCTGGGGGAGAGACGGTATTGTTCAAGTTTCTTTGCTCGGTAATCAATCGATTCTCCTTCAATTTCCATCTCAGGAAACGTGCGATTGGATCTTGGAGAGTGGGCCTTGGTTCCATTCGGATAACATGTTATACCTGCGACCTTGAACCCCGGGGATAGACGTTGAGGATTTGGGGAACAAGGCTCTGCCGATCTGGGTAAGATTCACCAACGTCCCTTTGGAGTATGTGAACTTTCAGGGTATGAGTAGGTTGGGGAGTTTCCTTGGGATTCCATTGGGAGTGGATCATACGACGAGGATGGGCGGACGACTAGGTTGTGCGAAAGCTCTTGTGGAATTGAAGGCTTCAGCTCATTTCCCGGATCATGTATTGATTTGGCCAACAGAGGAACGCTCAATTAAGGTGGGGGTGGCTTATAGCCACTTGCCTCCTATTTGTGACCATTGTCACTCCTTTGGCCAGAAATGTGGATGTAGCAAAAGGGAACAGGCTTTGAAGACTAAAGGGGCTCAGGGAAACAATGTAGTTGAGCGTGTCTGGGTTAAGAAGACAGTGGAAATGGTCAATAACAGTACCCCTATCCAGGCAGGTAGCCCAACGGGGAAGGATAAAGGAAAGGAAGTAGCTCCAGAAGATATGGTACTGAGCACTAATCTTATGGTTGGTTCAAACTGTGTGGGCATAAATTTAGAGCATTCGTTTCAATCAGTAGCAAGTTGTAGTTCACCAGTGCTTCCCACGGAGGATGAATTCCAGAAGGTGGTGAATGGAGCTAGACCAAGATGCTTGATGCTCTAAAACACAACACCTAACAATGGGCAAGTGTAACCAATGAAAGGGACTGCAGTATAGTGGCACAAGTAATAAATATCGAATCCACGGGTCTCTAGAGTTACTATTACTCAGCTTCAGTTCATTATCTAGCAAACTAGATTAAGGATTGATTAACTAAACTACTCTACTAACTAAACTAAGTAAAACTACTAATTACAGTTTGGGAACTCACTTAGGTATGATTCCCCCTAGCTCCTCAATTAGGTCCAAGTTGTAATTCTTTTTGGTTGTTTTACTGTTGATTAAACTGCGGAAGATCCGACAGTAGCTTGGAATCTCTTAAGCTGACCAAGCCCTCTCAGTCTAACTATCCGGCAGACGACTAGTCTTCACCGGGATAGAAAGCTGAAGCAATAAGCACAGAACTCCACTACTTGAATTGGATTCCTGTACAAAGCAGTAAACTGACTAACTCTCGTATAGCCAATCTCCTACTACCGAATGATGAGATTCTAGCAACCTAATCAGATTCTATCTATCTCAGGTTGCAGCAGAAATCAGGAAAAGTTGATCAGACTTCAATTGACTCAATAAACATGCATCATTCGATTATAATCAAACAATATAGCATCCAAAACTTCATACAAGAAAGATCCTAACTCATGGAACTAGGGTTCCTCAAAACCTAAGTGAAGGGAAGTTACTCCATAGAGAAGAGAGAGACTGCAGAAATCTGATCTAGATCTTCAATCTCCATCTCCAAGCTTGATTCCCGAGCTCCAATGGCGAATAAATCCCCCAAAATAGCTCCAAGAATGTTCCCAAGTCGCTCTCTCTCTCTAGGGTTCGTCCCTTGGGTGTTTTGGAACCAAAACCCAGCTCTCTCTTTCCTTTGGCTCTAATCTGCCTCAAAAACCCGATTCTGGGAGAATTACGATCGTAATTCTTCCATGCCCGTATTTTGCCCAAAACACGCGTTTTGGTTAAGTTTCAGCGCACCCAAGGCTCCTCTCAGCAGTGAAATTACGGGCATAGGAGGGTAAATTACGGTCGTAATTCTCCTGCCCGTAATTCTTCCTCCACCCCTGTTCAAAGTTTCGTTTCTCCCTCGTCCGGACTCCGAATCAGTCGCCGTTTGAACCCAGACGCTCGTAGTCTCGTCCTCTTTCTTTTAATAACAAACTTCCATGATTCTTTGTCCATAAAGTGAGGTAGAAATCCATTCTTCTTCAGGTCATGCTCGTGTTTCTTCTCCCTAATCGCCAATTGATCTCTGATTGACTTGAAACTTGCGCCTATGCTTCACTTTATTTGCTAGGGCCTGAAATGTGACAAAGGAACACAACCTAGTGTAAAATAGGCCAAAGAAGCGATAATGCAAGCTTAAACGATCAAGAAACAAAGGGGAAAACATGTGCAAATATCGAGTCATCAAATTCCCCCACACTTAACCATTTGCTTGTCCCCAAGCAAACCTAACTCAAACCAATGCAGCTCTCCAGACCTCTATATCAACATACAACCTCGATCGTCGGTATAGGATTTCCTAGATCATATAGCAGCTTACGAGGTCAACTGGTCTTCTAAGACGTTCCCTATCTCTCTCAATGCGAGTACTAGACTCAAGTCAGGATCATGAGAAGAAGTAGAAGTAAGACAGTCAGTTCATGGATAAAGAGACTCACACCATTCACTACCAAGGACTCGTTGTACCGGGGTGCTCTTTCACTTCATTTCACCGTTGGAACCCCTTTTTCTCACTTTCATTTACATTTTTTCTTTCATTTGGTGGGGTTCCAACTGCAGTCTTTTGCATGGTCGACCCTTATTAGTCGAGCAAGAGCAATTTCTGTACATCTGGAGCTCGCCAGAGTACTTCTTTTAACTCCTTTTCCTCAACTCGTGTGGAGGGTCAATGAAATTAAGGGGGGTCGGAAGCTCTATCCGTGCCCTTAAAAACACATCCTCAAGTAGGCAAACCGTTCAACGGGTGGAAGTTTTACTTGTACTAGAGACAACTTAGCTTCACCTTGTAGGAGTACCCCACTAAGGATCACTAAAATCTCTTCCAAAACCCGATTTTTTGCAATGAACGGTGCCGCACACGTTGGGCTTACCCCATGTTTAAGATTTAATGATTTTGACATGGAGGACCAACTGCTTCCCATTTTCCATATGAGCACCCTGTTCGATACACGAGTCCATAACATAATCCAAACAGAGTCACCATTACCACATGAATTCAACGGTCTTAGCTCCACTAATTCACAAAATCAACTGGCACAACAGAGAGCTAGATAAGAAAAATCTTATACTTCAACATCCTCCATAGTGCTACACTACCTCCCTAGGTTGCACATTACTATAGAGACTGTCAATTCAAAGCATACTGAGCAGGCAATTTGCAAGGAAACACATACTTGGAGCCCTCAAATTTAAAAATTTGGACAGTGAACTAGGCTCCAAGCACACAAACAACCAAACATTCACCCGCATACATAATCGAACACCCTCCCCCCCCACACTTAAGCATGACATTGTCCTCAAAGGAGGAAAGATAAGGAAGGTAGAACGAAGTTACCAGATTAAGGGTGAATGATGATGTACGGGTCAGGCAGTGCATTCCAGGAAGAGAGAGTAATCAGAACACAAACACCACACAAAATCTCACAAAGGTTGAGTTATTGACTCTAAAATCAAATAACAAAACTGACTCAACCGAGGAGAAATAGAGAAAGAAATGCAAACCGACTGGTTGGGTTGCCTCCCAACAAGCGCT